GAAGAAAGTGCAAGTTATATGGTAAAGCTTCTTCTGTATATTTACACAGAATTTTTGTTCTGTTTTTGAATCTTTTTTATAACTTTATTTTGGACAGATAATATACTCACAATAGTCTTTTGTTTGAGGGTATTATTTAATTTTTAATTCATGCTGAATAGGGAATTTTATATATCATTGTGGCAATTTTTGTTTGAGGAGGGTGTTTGCCAATAATATGATGTATATGGTATCGACGGAAGATGTTATGGTCCCGTTATGGAACCATTCCGTTGGGATTTGTAACCGTTAGATCAACTATCTCTAACGGTTACATGATGATCTAGCGGTTACAAACTCTGATGGAATGGTTCCGTAACGAGACCTTAGCATTTCCCTGTATTGACATACTTTGAATTGATAGCAAGATTAGATAATTTTCCTTTATTGTGTATATAAAAATAACTTTCCTCTTTTCTAAATATATTTAATTAGTTTGCCATTTTTAAATAAATCAGACCGTTTGTGTAATGTGGAAAATAAATAAATAACTAATAGATGAGGCAAAGATGGAAATATTTCAAACTGAAGGTTTGAATTATGTGAGGTTTTTTTTTTTTTTTTCAAACGATAATTATATTAATGACTAAAAACTCGAAAAGAGTACAACCGGAGTGTCAAATGACACATTGGAATCAGACATCAATTTCATTATTAATTATATTAATGAGGTTCACAAGACACAGACATCAATTTCATTATTGGTTCAATTTTGAACAACATGAAGACTTTTTAGGAATTGATTGTGAATGTGAATAATAATAATAATAATAATAATAATAATAATAATAATAATAATAATAATAATAATAATAATAATAATAATAATAATAAAAAGCTTTGCAAGCAATAGAATTGCTAGTTTTGGATTTATGTGTGAATAGAAAAATTCTAGAAAGATAGATTAAAAAATCCTTTAAGAATTTATTAGACACACTTCAATTTTTTTCAATCACCAAAAAGGAGATAAAGTACTCTTGATGGTTTAATTTATCTTTTTTAAGCCTAATTTCAAATGGATACATGTCAAGGATAAAAGACATTTTCTAGAACTAGGGACACGTAGGTATAAAGCATCTAAAGATTACAAGAAAAGAGGGGACATGTAGGTATAAATGCTACGATTCGTTACGGTACCATATTGTTGGGTGTTTTAACATTTAGATCTTATCTAACTTATCTTATTTACCTAGATCCAACGATTAAAACACTCGACGATATAATACTGTAACGAACCGTAGCATTTCCCCTTAGTTATATCTACCATAAGAGTGAACCAATATCTACTAACTTTCGGAATAATGATTCCATCCAAAAATTCTCAATAAAATTGTAGTTGAAATTTAGAGAATTCAACAACCACTTTCCAACGGCTTATTATCATAGGAATTTAAGTTGAAATATACAATTTCTGTTAAATTTTTATTTCTATTCATATTTCAATTGTTCACAAATCTACCGATAGAGTCAAAATCCAATAAAAATTTCAGTAGAAAATTCATTACAACAAAATATTTTTGTGTAATTTTAATATTTTATTGTAG